AATGGAGATTAGAGGCTAAAACATATGAAGGACGGTTGCAGGAATTGGGTGAGTCTAGTCTGATGAAAAAAAGGGACTAGGGGATGATATGATAGCAGTGTTCCAACATCTAAGGGGCCACCACAAAGAAAAGGGGTCAACCTATTCTTCAAAGCACCAGAAGGCAGGAAAAGGAAACAATGGAAATTAATCAAGGACAGAACCAACTTATTTCTTCTTAGAAATAAGAAGAAATCTCCTGACAGTGAGAACAAATAATCAGTGGAACGACTTGCCTCCAGAAGTTTTGGGTGCTCCAACATTTGAGTTTTTTAAGAAGTGATTGGACAACTATTTGTCTGAAATAGTATAGGGTTTCCTGTCTAAGCAAGATGGACTAGAAGACAGCCAAGGTTCTTTCCAACTCTGTTATTTTGAAGACAGAACATGTTAGCAAGGTTCACAAATTCCTTAAGCCACAGAAATGTGGCCTTTAAGCTGCATATTGCATATCCCTGCATATAATAAATATCCTAAAATTATACCAATTTGGTCTCGTGTGCTTTAAATGAGCTAATTTTGAGCTACCTCTGGATAATGAAGACTCTTCCAACTCTGTTATTCGCCTAAATCTACATGGCTTTGGGTTTCCAGTTTTCAGGGGAGAACCCCCCCCCCCCACCTCCAGTATATTAGGAATGGAAGAGATTTTCCAAAGCATTTTGTAACAGGGCATGAAATGATATTATGGAACAGTAATGCTTCTTTAAAACCAATGGGAGTGGACACCCCATTGTTTTCTTTTCCTCTGAAAGACAGTGGATGTGCATTTGATTCAGCTGAATGAATTACTTGGGGATATTCTGAGGGGCAGCGGAGCAGCATTCCCTCCAAAGGGATCGGAGCTACCATAGAGGTACCAAGGGTGAAAAAAGAAAGCAAAGTTTCGAATCCAGTAAGAAATAAAGGAGTTCTCATGCCTGCTTAACTCCTCTTTCAAAATATTAATTCAACCAGCCATACGCTTGAGAGATCAAGGTAATATTTTCTCTGGCTGTGTCATTTGTTCAGCAGGAGTCCGAGGAATCCTGCTAATCTCAACATCACTTTGCCACCTATCTAAGCTTTTGAAAAGGATGCTGTGGGTCGCTCTGTTTCCATCCCTGGAATTGTTTCAGCCACGTTTAACAAATATGAATGCACACCTGCAGGTGGAAATGGGCAGACTTGCCTCCCAGAATGAAAATGTTAGCCCTTTTCTCAGCGCTGCAATTTCTAAATGGATTGTGAGAAAATAACTTTGTAGTTCTTTGGAACTACTTACAATTTTATTGGATTCTGTGCTTCTCCGGATGCATTCAAATGCACCTCCTCACGTTCTTCCTTTCTCTGAATTCTACTAAATTCTCATATTCATTCTCTCTCTCTCTCTCTCTCTCTCTCTCACACACACACACACACACACACACACACACACACACACACACACTTACATATATACTTGATTATGCAGCTCTAAGGGGAAAAACATTTTATGCCCATCAGTTGTTTAGATTTAATAGTCTAATATGGATAAGTCGCCAACTGAAATCTCTTTGGCCTCATGGAAAGGCTGCAGCAATGCCTCAGACAGAAGCCGGGAGAGAAGACGCCTCCCAGACTATTTGGCAGAAGCCCAGAAAATCATCAGCAAACAGACCGTCTTTGCAAACCTTGTACGGAAGTAAAGGAAAAGCTTTGATTTGACTAAGACTGGCTGTGGCCCTCGTTTAGAATCTAAATGCATCTGACAGCAGAGGTAAAAGAGAAAGCAAACTGGAAGCACTGATGCATAATGGATCCTACATCTGCTTCTGAATATGCAGGCTCCGCATTGAGGCTCAGTCTCTTGAAAGAAATCTCTCTTAAAATGGCTCCACTGAAGCCACCTGCTTTGGAGAAGATAAGGATTTTAACCTTTTAGAATAGGTGACATTTTACTTATTGAGGGAGGGAGGGAGGGAGGGAGGGAGGGAGGGAGGGAGGGAGGAAGGAAGGAAGGAAGGAAGGAAGGAAGGAAGGAAGGAAGGAAGGCTCCTTGTATAACATTTTTCCTCTGTGACATGATAGCTTTTTATATGAAACTGGAGAGTTGGTTTCCAGCTAACAAATGGAAGAGAAATGACTGGAAGACTCAAATAACCCCTTTCTTGTAACCAATATGTCATATAAAAGTATCTGCACAGAAGCAAAAGTCACTTTTTTCTAATGGCTGGAACTTGACAAAAGATACACCTACTTATCACTTTGACCTTTAAGTGAAACCCTTCCTATCTGACACTGAATCAGCTATCCCACATCATCCAAACTTGAATGTGTCACATGCAAAGAGGAGGCAAAAACCAGATGTGAAATATAAGGGGAATATGTTGGATAGAAAGAACCACAAGAAAGAGGGACTGAAATAAATCCCTCTTGACATTCCTAGTGCCAGCTTCCAAACAATAACCAGAGGGTGTTGTCATTTTCTAGCTAGAATTCTAAGCATGCTTGTTTTAGGATTATGATAGAGTGAATGTGACTTACTTCTGAGGAAACTGCGGTGAGAAATAATATACCCCCATCCTGATATCAGAGGTGACTTCAGTTCTCCAGTTGATGGTTAGATGCTGATGCTTCTAACTGCAAGGGGAGAGATACTGTCTCCAACCTCAAATGTGCAACAGGAAAATTGTCACATGTGTTTAGAGTGGGAGGCATTGGGCAGCTCTATTTTCATTTCATTCCACCAGGCTCAGGGTTGGCCTCTGCATTCTGCACTTAAGAGTGCTGAAGGATGGCTTGGCCTCTGTCCCAGCCACCATCATTAAGAACTGCCAATCAGCAACTCACTACCTTAGATAAGAATTTGACTGTCAATGGTGTTATCAACGTTTCACAAAAGGCCTGGGAGATCTCCCTTCTAAAGAAATTTGTTTGAATTGAAGCTGCCTGAGACCAGCCTTGTCCTCAGGAAAATGTCAACAAATGTGCTGCTGAAATCCTCAATCACCTTAGTGATATATGGGTAATATTAATTTCAGATGTAGTGAAAAACTACCATGAAAGCATTTGCAGGCATTTTTTCCTCTTTCAATCATACAAATACACGTAATCATGATTTCATACTTTACCTGCAGAACTTGTCAATGACAGCTAAAGATAATACAAGCGAAAAAGATGTTCATCAGCCATACTGGTAAATCAACACTTTGCTGAATCACAGAGTTAGCAAAGTTTTAAGAGAGAAAACTGCTTCCTGAACAGGTGATTCCTTTTAAAGTTAGTCAGATGTAGGGATGACCATCAAAGCCTCAATTTTCAAACCAACTAATGAACTATAACCTGGTCTAACTGGTGGCATTAGAAGCTCTTGGCAATGCATGCTTTAAGCCAGGGGTCTCCAAAACCTGACAACTTTAAGACTTCTGGACTTCAACTCCCAGAATTCTCCAGCTAGCATGGCTGGCTGAGGAATTCTGGGAGTTGAAGTCCACAAGTCTTAAAGTTGCCCAGTTTGGAGGACCCTACTTTAAGCAATTGCATTTACCTGCAGAAGGGAATGGGTTCTGCAATCACCTATTAAAACTACTATTGTCAAATGAGCCACAATTCATAGGGGAAACCTGACAGTTCACTGGGGGCATCTGGTTTCATGAACAAATCCAAAGCGAGTCTGTGATAGATCTCCAGCTCCTTCCCATCAGGCACCTATCCCCAATATCCCTTGGAATGTTCCAGGTTTTATTCAATTTGTAGTAGAAAAACTGATTAGCATCCTTTCTGGTCCAACTTCCAGTTGGGTTTGATGATGATGAATACTGACTGCATGCTGGTTTATCTCAAAATGTGTATTTGGTCATAGAGAGGCAAGGTAAGCAGGAAACTTTCACCAGTAGCATAACTATATTTTTAACAGGTGTTTTTAACTGTCTGTGACTGGGGTATCATTGAAATCAGTAAAAGCAAGAGAGAATGCAACACAGTTAATAAAGGAATTCCTCTCCTCCTCCAATCTATTAGCATAAAGCTGTGCATTTTTTCTTTTGCAGACTATAGGTTAGTGATGGCTAACCTTTTTGCCATTGCATGTCAAAAGCAGGGGGAGCACGGGACACGCAAGAGTGCCCACACCCATAATTCTATGCGCCTCACCCCCCCACACACACACACATGCACATGCAACCCCCCCATGCTTCCTCCCACTTTTGGCATGTGATGGCACAGTTGGCCCGGTAGGCCCATTTTTCACCCTCCCCAGGCTCCAGAGCCTTTCTAGGAGCATGGGGAGGGTGAAAACGGCATTCCCCACCCCCTTAGAGGCCCTCCGGAGGCTGGAAATAGCCTGTTTCCCAACTTCCGGTGGGCATAGAAGGCCCGAAAATCACCTGGCCAGCGCGCACATGTGTGCCGGAGCTGAGCTCACATGCCCACTGATATGGCTCCGCGTGCCACCTGTGGCATGCATGCCATAGGTTTGCCATCACGGCTATAGGTAGTCCTCCACTAACAACAATTCATTTAGTGACCATTCAAAGTTACAATGGCACTGAAAAAAGTGACCTATGACAATTTTTCACATTTACAACCATTGCAGCAATCTGATGGTCACATGATCAAAATTCTGACACTTGGCAACTGACTCATATTTATGATGGTTTCTATATCCCAGGGTCATGTGATCCTCTTAAGCCACTTTCTGACAAGCAAAGTCAATGGGGAAGCCAGATTCACTTAACATCTGTGTTACTATCTTAACAACTGCAGTGGTTCACTAAACTGTGGCAAGAAAGGTCGTAAAATGGAGCAAAACCCACTAAACAACTGTCTGGCTTAGCAACAAAAATGTTGGGCTCAGTTGTGGTTGTAAATCGAGGAGTACCTGTAAATACTTAGGAGTGGCACTGGATAAATGTTTTCAAGCAAATTCATGGAGAGGAATGTTCTATATTTTCCTCCCCCGAAAAGAAAGAAAATATCCCAGTTTTGGACAGGGTAGAATAATAGGCAAAGGGTATGCGAGTCTCTTAAAAGTTTTTTTTTTTAACCCTTTATTTTTACACATACACAGAAGAAAAATCATACCGGTTAGTTATTTACATGTAGCTTATAAATTGGATTTTCATCACTTCTATAGCACGTCTTTATCAGAACTTTTTAAAATCCTTTCCTCCCCCCCCCCCCCCCTAGTGGGGCAATTGAGCAGTGAAGAGAAATCCAAAGAGTTCCACCACACCGCTTTATAAAAACAAGACCAACATTACCACAGACTTTTTGTACAGATCCTGGTACCTGCTTCAAAAATTGAGAGGAGTTTCAAGAAGTCAATCTGGGAGACAACAGGAAAAAAAAGCAAGTGCTATTGCCTAAGTGATGGTCTGCTTTCGTAAGGTTGGATGTACTCTGATAACATCTGATTTTATTCCAGTAGAACTGAGCTGGTGTGGAATCCCATCTCCCCTCAGCCTGTGGAAGCCTCAGAGTCAGCACGGTTGCTCCTTTAAATAGGCAAACGGAAAATCTCATCAATCTAAGGAAGAAAAAAAATGGAAAAAAATATCAGTACAGGTAGTCCTCACTTACCAACTGCCTCAAAGTTATAACAGTGCTATCCCTCAGTCACATGATCATCATTGCATTCAGTACTTGTGTCTAATTTGTTGTTTTTTTCCTCTCCCCACCCCCAACTTGCAAAGCAGAGAGATTGGAATGGAGAGAAAGGGAATACAAGAGAATAAGCAGGCAGATATAGGGGAATCCACTGGGTTATTTGCATATTACACCAGCAGCTGCACATTGCTCTCAATGTGTATTTCCCATTGTATATCTGCTTGCTCTCTTAAAATCCCTTCTTTGGCAATGAAGGTAAATACAAACACTAATTCTGTTCTTGTTAATACGCTAGCACCAGGGCAAACATTCCAAAAGGCAGGGAAATGGTCAGGAGCAGTGGTGGGTTTCAATTTTTTTTACTACCAGTTCTGTGAGTGTGGCTTGATGGGCATGGCATGGCTTGGTGGGCGTGGCTTGGTGGGTGTGGCAGGGGAAGGATACTGTAAAATCTCCATTCCCACCCCACTCCAGGGGAAAGTTACTGCAAAATCCCCATTTCCTCCTGATCAGCTGGGACTTGGGAGGCAGAGAATAGTTGGGGGTGGTGCCAGTCAGAATTTTTACTACCGGTTCTCTGAACTACTCAAACTTTCTGCTACCGGTTCTCCAGAACTGGTCAGAACCTGCTGAAACCCACCTCTGGTCAGGAGACAAATTAAACCCACAGGTGTGAAACTGAGCAGTCTTTTGACATTGAAAACACAGTTGCAGTCATGTGATTTCTCATTTAGCAATGGAGTTGCTGATTGCAACTGTGGTTGCTAAGCAAGGACTGCTTGTAATAATTTCCTTTTCTTTAGATGCTTCTGCACTATGACTTTACTAGAGAGCTTACTGGCATCCTTCATGTTACAAAATATTTACCTCGTCTGCCAAGCAAAGCCATCTTCTTGAAGTCTTCCTTCTCCTGTCATTTCCCTGCCAAGGTTTCCTTGTGCAATAAACAGAGCAGTGGTGGGTTGCTACCAGTTCGCCCCGGTTCGGGGAAACTGGTAGCAGTGGCGGGAGGCTACGCTCACCCGCCCGGATGTCATCAAATATGCTCTGCGCGTGAGCAAACCAGTAGCAAACGTAAGTGAAACCCGCCACTGAAGCAGAGCAAACCCAGATGAAGCTTTATTCTGAGTTTTAATGATTTTCTTTTATTTTTTTCCACAAAGAAATAAAATTCCTATCATCTTCCCCACCACCACCCCTCCCCAGCCCTTAATACTTCTCTGCTTACCTTTTTCTCATCAGGAAACACTTTCTGGGAGACAGTATGCATATTTAAACAATGAGAGGCAAGCAGGAGGTCTCATGAGGCCAAAGGAGAGCAACTTCTGAAATGATCACAATTATTCCATTACTGCAAGACAAATAGCCTTGTTTACTATCCAAACTCTGGCTTCCTTCCTCTTCATTTATACACTGGTAACTTGAGTCTGCCACACATTTGTATTGATTCCTGTTTTATTTTATTATTTTTAACACTACAAAAGTGGATATTGGAGAGACCTTGTTGCTGGGGCAGCCTTCCAAAATTACTTAACCAGAAAAAACATTGCATATATTAAATCTTAAGAACATATTCTTTATTCTTTAGAAGGCCAGATCCTGAAGATGAAACTCAAATACTTTGGCCACCTAATGAGAAGGAAGGACTCACTGGAGAAGAACCTAATGCTGGGAAAGACTTTTGAGGGCAAAAGAAGAAGGGGACGACAGAGAATGAGTTGGCTGTATCGAGTCACTAAAGCAGTAGGGGTGAGCTTAAATGGTCTTGGTGAGATGGTAGAGGACAAGATGGCCTGGAGGAATGTTGCCCATGGGAACACGATGGGTCGGACATGACTTCGCAACTAACAACAACAACAAAAAAGAACATATTGTTGTTTCTTTTAAGGATCCTTGTTTTTTTTAAAGTTAACACTGTATGCGATTTCAGTTCAAAAAAAGCATGTGGCTTTAAGATGTAGAGTCAGATACATTCGTACATTTCTTTTATTGCGCTAGAACAGATGGGCAAGGGGACAAATTAAAACGATGGGGTTCCAAGTTCTTGGAAAAGTATGCCCTGATCAATTTGGGGAAATTTTCTCAAACTCCTCATGAAAGATACCAGTTCTACCATAGAGAGTTAAGTAATATGGCTTCTCCCAATGTTGCTATTCCTGCTATGAAATGGAAAATTGGAATCGACCATGAAGCACAGGATGCAGAACAGGACCTAAAAAATGCGGTTGGTCACTTTTCTTTTTATCATCACAAAATAATGGTCGGCAGCATGAATGGGTAATTCATGGAGCACCGGCCTTCATCCATGCAGCAAAACTTCATTTAGCAAAATGAACTATCACTGGATTAACTAAACAGATAAACTGAAATGAAGAAACCTGAATCACAAGAACTCCCCAAAAGAAATCCTACTGTAACTCACTTTGGTTACTCCACTGTATGACTGGCCTATCTGGTTCAACTCTCAACCATTCAACACAATTCTTTCAAAAGGGCAGATCTGAAGAGCTGTGGTGGTACAATGGTTAGAATGCAGTACTGCAGGCTTCTCCTCCTGACTGCCGGATGCCAGCAGTTCAGCAGTTTGATTCTCACCGGCTCAAGCTTGACTCATTCTTCTTCTTTTTTTTGGGGGGGGGGTAAAAATTTTTTCTTTATTTTTTACTCATACGCACACACACAAACATACAATATATTTTTGCTGATCAGAGTATTTGGAAGGTTAACAAATTTAAACAATTTTTAATTTTTACAACTATGATTACCATTTCTATACTTCCTTTTTGCCATAGTGTTCATTTTCATCTATTTTTACCAATTTTACCCTTCATTTTCATCTCTAATTTTAACCAAATTCCAATTTCCCTTCTGTTCTATATTAGACCCCAATCCATCATCAAAATAATTAATTTTATGGTGTTACAATTGTTCAATTCTTACAGGCATAACTTACATTTTCTTAAGTAATACAGTCCAACATTTTGATATAATCAGTTACTTCTATAAGTATCTTTTCTATTTATATATTCAAACACTTAATGAAAAAGAAAAAGAAAACCAAAAACAAATATAAGCATAGCTGTTCCAATTTAGTTCCATTTTCGTACATCAAATAGTTTCCCCATATGTTCCTCCAAACCACATCTTAATCATTTCTACTTTCATCACAATATATCATTAAAACTATTTCATCCATTACAATTTCCTCAATTAAATTTAAAAAGTCTTCTGACTGTTATCATCTACTTGCTTCCCCTATGTATTATTTCAAATCCTCACTTAATCATTTTAATACACACCACCATAAACCATTAACAGTATTTCAATTATTACAAGGTTGACTCAGCCTTCTATCCTTCCAAGGTCAGTAAAATGAGGACCTACATTGTTGGGAGGCAATATTCTGACTCTGTAAACTACTTAGAAGAGGGCTGTAAAGCACTGTGAAGCAGTATATAAGTCTAAGTGCTATTGCTATTGATGTTCAACTGTCAGTCAAGAAATTGATCTCAGTGATATCAAGCCAGTCAACTCACTGGCATTGTAATTCAGCTCTGGCAGTTACACTTCAAGTCTAAATCCAGAGTCATTCTGGGGATGTCCTGAAATTAGACCTGAAAACTTTCCATGCAAAGCATGAATTCTAAACTTCATGGAACGTAAACCATTTAAGTTAACTATATGATTGTGAAGCAAATTAACTATACTTCAGGGTTTCTAGAGTCTATGCTATGTGGATCCTAGACCAAGTAATCATAGAACAATGGTAGGTGTGTATGACTTCACACATCTACAAGCACCCCGTTATGTTTCTTTCTGCACAGAACCATAAAAGCATATAAAAGAATTACTTCTATATTTGCCAAATTATGATAAGGAGCAAACTAGCAAATGTATTCAAGTTGTAGATGACTGAGGGAATATGTGTAGCTTATGTTACCTTTTTGGAGAAAGGAGCAGTGGTGGGTTGCTATCAGTTCACACCGGATCGGGCGAACAAGTAGTGGCAGTGGAAGGCTCTGCCCATGTGCAGAAGTGTAGTGTGTGTGCACAAGCTCATGAGCGAACCGGTAGCAACGGGTTTTGGAACCCACCCCTGGGAAGGAGGTAAGATAGGCAGGAGCCTAGGCCCTCTAAAAGCATATAGATAAGCAAAGGTAGAAGGAATGAAGGAATGGAATGGAATGGAATGGAATGGAATGGAATGGAATGGAATGGAATGGAATGGAATGGAAATAGAGCAGAGCAGAATAGAACAGAATACTTTATTGGCCAAGTGTGGTTAGACACACAAGAATTTGTCTCTGGATTATGAAATAGAGAGAAATGCATGAAATATCATGATTCTATATGTCAAGGCAGAACAAAACACAGCTTCTTCTAATGTTCTTTCTGATACTGGGCATTTTGTAGAATATTTTGGTATTTTATTGTTAATCCTCTTCACATAAAACCTTTTAGCTCATAGCTTTATAAGGAAGAACTTAATGTTCCAATAATTAAATAAACAGCTTTGATCACTGCTCTAAAGTCTGTCTGTCTGTCTCTCTCCCTCTCCCAAGCAGACTAATGTCTTAGAATTTAATCCATGAAAAGGGGAAGCATCTACTCCTGTCTGTCAAACTACTAATAATTTTCTCTAGGTCAAATACAACAGAAAAGAAATGAACGAAGTAACTTAAATTTTGAATGCCATGCTACATATGGCCTGCAGAAGTTGACCCTCCAAAACAAACATGGTTAACTATTATAAGTAGTCCTCAATTTATGGGCACAATTTTTTTTATTGATTGATTGATATCCTGCCTTTATTATTTTTAAAAATAACTTAAGGTGGCGAGCATATTTAAGACATCTTCCTCCTCTTATTTTTCCCCAAAGCAACACCTTATATTTCCTGTGAGATGGGTTGGGCTAAGAAATAGTGACCGGCGCAACGTCACCCAGCTGGCTTTCATGGCTAAGGCAGGACTTGAACTCAGAGTCTTCCGGTTTCTAGCCTGGTGCTAATTGGGTCCAGAATTTCTGTTGTTAAATGACTCACACCTGATTTTTTTTATGACCTTTTTTGACACAGTTAAGTAAACCAATGAAGTTGTTAAGTGAGTCACGCAATAGTTAAGCAAATCCAGTTTACCCAGGTTGTCTTTGCTTCTCAGAAGCTGGCTGGGAAGATTGATAATGGTGATCACATGATCCCAGGACACTGCAACCATTTGCAAGGGCCTGGATCATTTGGTTGGGGAATTTTATTTTAAAAAAAAAAAGTTTTATTGGTTTTCTTCTTTCCTCCTCTCCCACCTTCACCCATATCTTTCTTTCTTTTTTTTCTTTTTTAACAGAGTGTTGGTTGTTTCCTATCTTATACAATTAGTCAAATTCAAATACATTTTACTCAATTACAATTTTTATCAATATTGTCTTCCCCCTTTCCTTTTTTTTAAATATACCTCAGTATTTCTATACTTGCATATATAAACACCTTCTTCATTTATCCCTAAATTCTAATTTTGCTAATTGTACATATTTGTCCTCTTATATTCTTTAACAATTCATTCTTTTTCCTAATATATTTATATTTGTTTGTTCAGAGCTGCCTTTCTTCCACTTCATCTTCTTTTTTTGTTGTACAGCAATCTTTCTTCTCAAACCTAGCCTCTCCCTCTTCTCCTTCCAACTTTCTTAGAGAAGAGAAGAAGAAGGTGGAGAAAGAAAGATGGTTGGGGAATTTTAGAAAATTCTTCCTTTTTCATGGGTTCCCTAAAAAGCAACATATTTTAGACTCTGCATACAAGTGAATGTTATCAACGGTTGTATTGTGGATTTTAATAACATTTATGTATCTACTTAGAAATTCATTCATCTTTTGTGGGTGTCTTTATCATAACATAGGTTAGAATACACAATGATCTATAGCAGTATTTCTCCACCTTAGCAACTTCAAACTGGGTAGACTTCAACTCCCAGAAATCTCCACCCAGTAAAGCTTTATTTATTTACAGATAATGAATAAGATAACTCATTTGTAAATAATGAAGCGTGTTCCAGTCTTTTGATTCACAACAGCTGCCTCTTTCCATAATGAGTTTGTGAAATTTAGCTAACCAAACAGAGATCAGAGGGTTGTGGTGCAAATATATATACTGTATATTTATCAAATCTAACAAGCTGATTTTATCTAAGTTTAGAGACTATTTGAATCAATTAAGAAAATGTCTGTGCCTGAAAATATCTACAAAACCATATGTTATAGTATAAATATCTTTTTAAAGTCAATTTATTAATGTGTATACTATATTTCTTACCTCTGTACCTTATGATTCTTGATGAATGTATCTTTTCTTTTATGTACACTGAGAGCATATGCACCAAGACAAATTCCTTGTTTGTCCAATCACACTTGGCCAATAAAGAATTCTATTCTATTCTATTCTATTCTATTCTATTCTATTCTATTCTATTCTATTCTATTCTATTCTATTCTCTGCCCACCCCTCATTTTAATAAACTAGATTCCCATGTCATACAATATTTCAAACCTTATTTTTTTTCCTTTGCTTATTTTAAAAGTAATATTGAAGACGTTTGCTGTATATACAATAGGTAGTTCTTGACTTACAACCACAATTGAGCCCAAAATTTCAGTTGCTAAGCAAAACAGCTGTTAAGTGAATTATGTCCCATTTTATGGCCTTTCTTGCCACCATTATTAAATGAATTGCTGCAGTTGTGAAGTTAGTAACCCAACTGTACAGTGAATCTGTCTTCCCCATTGATGTTGCTTGTCAGAAAGTTGCAAAAGGTGATCACCTGACCCTGGGACACTGCAATAAATCATAAATATGTGCCAGTTGCCAATCATCTGAATTTTGACCACATAACCATACGGATGCTGCAACTGTCTAAGTGGAGAAAATGATCATAGGTCACTTTTTTTTCACTAACGGTCACTAAATGAATGGTTATAAGTAAAGGACTACCTATATTTACTGGTAGAATTTTCTGCTTTCTTTTGTTTTCAGATACCCCTTGCCAAAGGAATATTTTCCTAAAACCCATCAGACTGGAAGTAAAGAAATATCAAGGCAATAGAAATCCTCCCTCCTTCCAGTTCCATCCATCTTTTCTCTGGAATTAAGAAGGAGCCTATGATAAGCAGTCGATTCAAATTGTTCTACGATGAAATGAAAGATAGAAATCTGGTGGTATGGAAGCACCTCAACTGGCCCAAATTCAAGTCCACCCTTAGCCATGAAAACTCACTATTTAACTCTTGGTCTTTCATTTCTGGTCAACCCAATCTACATCACAGGGTTGGCACTCCAGGAATAAAAATGAAGGGAAATCTCCATATAAGCTACCTTGAGTTCTTGCAGTAAAGACAAACACAAGTCTAATAAATGAATTATGAAAATAAAAATAAATAGGCAAGGTCACACATGGATCTATGCAAAATGCAATGAGACATGTAACAGAAAATATCACACATTTTTCCCAAACAAAAACTTAAATCTATAAGAGTGTCTACATATAGCTTAATTTGTTTAAGCTCTTTTCTAGAGTCCACAAGCACACAAATGCTGTGAAAATGTTGCTTGTTACATCAATACATGATACAAAAATTAAAAAATGAGATTTTGGAGGCACAACTGCTCACCAAATCTTCCTATCATTCAATATAAGGAATTTCGTAATTCTAGCCTTTAAAATAACAGGTGTTAATCATAAATGTTTAACAAAGTATTGGAGATCATTTTTTTTTTAATTTGATTTATATGCCGCCCTTCTCCGGAGACTCAGGGCGGCTTACAATGCGTTAAGCAATAGCCTTCATCCTTTTGTATATTTATACAAAGTCAGCTTATTGCCCCCACAAACTGGGTCCTCATTTCACCTACCTTAGAAAGGATGGAAGGCTGAGTCAACCTTGAGCCTTGGAGAGATTCGAACCAGCAGAAATTGCAGGCAGCTGTGTTAATAACAGGGTGCATTAAACCACTGTACTATCAAGGCTCTTATATTGTCCTCTTCAGAAAGAAATTGTGTCTCTTTACAGACCACTTCATTGATCAAAATTTGGACAACCATTGATACTCCATCTACTTCCTACATAGCTGATATTAACTATAAAATACATTATTTTGAGGGAAGTTGAGATACTTTAAGGGTTGTTTAGCTGCAGTCCCATGCTACATCTAGGAATGAACTGACACACAAGTAGACATAGTGCATACAACAGGATTGCAATAGAGCTCCTCCACCCATATGCTCTTGCTTCTGAATTGGATGGTTCACATAGGTGACTTCAAATAGTGTCCCTTCAACCCAGCCTTGGGTTTCAGAGAACAAAGAAGATGGCTTGAATCTGGAACTAGGCTGTGATGATCCAGATAATCACTAGATGAATGCAGAGGGTTTTCTTTTCTTCCATCTAGTAGCGTCCATTTGCATTTTGCCAGCCCAGATCTGGTAACAAACTGAGCCAAAGTGAGACGATCGTATGTGATTTTGCTATCAAGCAATGCTCTCTGTGTCTGATTTTAAGACAGCAAATAGATTTCTAAAACTATCTTCACTTCTCCAGCTCACTTTTTGATGTATACTCAATGCATATAATATATTACATATGTGCTATACATGTTACTGTATGTAGAGAATCATTGGGGTGTGGAAAGCATTCGGAAAAACGTAGATCAGCATTATGGTGGATATGAAACAAACAAAATGTTAAAAAGTTATATTTATGTAGTTTCTTGCCAAGCACATCTAAATCATTTTTTAAAAAATTTGATTTATATGCCGCCTTTCTCCGGAGACTCAGGGCGGCTTACAATGCGTTAAGCAATAGCCTTCATTCTTTTGTATATTTTATACAAAGTCAGCTTATTGCCCCCACAAACTGGGTCCTCTTTTCACCTACCTTAGAAAGGATGGAAGGCTGAGTCAACCTTGAGCCTTGGAGAGATTCGAACCAGCAGAAATTGCAGGCAGCTGTGTTAATAACAGGGTGCACTAAACCACTGTACTACCAAGGCTCCTTTAAATAAATATTTAAATTAAATATTTAAATAACCAAAATATCTTTACAATCCTAAGGCACTTTTGAGCACCCCTAATGTG